TAAGCCTGAGGATGGATAAAGTGCTAAATAATAAAGTAGAGAGTTATGGTAGATGAGAGGTAAGGAATAATCAAGTTATAGTTTTTATATCATTACTTTTTATGTTTTATAGGAGTACTAAACTAAATCCTAGGTGAATGAAGGATATAGCTTGCTTTTTAATATATCTCATCCTCATATCAATATATAGACATAGGGGGGGGTGTGGAGAGATAATGAGGTGTACGAGTAATAACAAGGTGTAATTCGATCACTAAAAAGTGAAAGGGTAACAGAGCAGGACGAGATAAGGAGTGATAGAGGGATTTTTTAGAAATGGTTTTATGACAGGGTATAATTTATAAAAAGAAATCCCTACCTAACTTTACCTTACAGGCCTTACTAATCAAATCTTTTAACGAAGCAGGGTAGAGCGGTTAAAGCCTATAGGATATCACAGGATAGTGAGTAAGAGAATGGGAGTGGGTGAGGTATGTGTAAGATAAACTCAGAGGTAAACAGGGGGGGGGGTGGGTGCAGTAAAACACTATCGATTTTGTATGAAGTGTACATGATAAGGGATTTATAAAAATATAAAAAAGAAATGGGTACGAGGTAGGTGGAGGGGCCAAGATGTTTTATATGTTCATGAGAAATAGACCTGTAGAGGTTAATACGATAATGGAGGTAGGTTGTACAAAACCTAATAAAGTAAGGGAGGGGTAGAGTAAAGTAAAATCAGGAGAGGGGGGTATGAGTAAAAGTAGGAGGTATTGGGGGGGGGGTATAAGGTATAAGATATACGAGGCCTCCAAATCAGGATATACCTTTTAAATATAAAGGTAAGATAAGAATAGGATGGTAAGATAGGAATAGGGTGGTAAGGTAAGAATAGGGGGGTAGTAAGATAAGAATAGGGGTAAGACGGGTAAGAGTTAAACAGCTAGCCAGCTAGCAGGCAAGCAAGGAGTAAAGCAATAAAGAGGCATAAGGATGTATAACGGAGGGATAGTTTAGTTTTGAGATGGGGGGTATTTTGTATGCTAAAGAGGTAAAATAAGGGGGGGTAGTGTAAGAGACTAACTCATATTTAACACAGACTTAATATCCATTCATGCAGAATGGGGGGGGGGGTAGGTAGGTGAAGATTTATTGATAAATTTTTTAATAAAAAGAAATGGAGGGAGGTGTATAGTGAGGGGGGTCATGAAGGGTGGAGGAGGTACGCTAAGAGTGTACGAGTAAAAGAATGGTGATAGGGTATAAGTGGGTAGTTGTAGTATAAAGAGAAGAATGGGATGATATAGAAGGGAGTAGGGTAATAGGTGCGAATCATCTTCCGCGAGAGAGCGCAATATAATATAATAAGAGATGTTTATAAATATATTTACAACAGTAAGAGCAGATGCGGCCTATCCTTGGCAATATGGTTTTCAAGATAGTGCGAGTCCAACACATGAAGGGATTATTATTCTGCACGATTCGATTTGTTTTTATCTGGTTCTAATTTCATTTCTAGTATTTTGAGTACTGGGATCCATTCTAGTGAATTTTAATTCAGAGCGACAGGCCATTGTACATAAGTACCAGACACATGGGACACTGATTGAGCTGATTTGAACGATTACACCAGCGCTAATTCTAGTAGCGATTGCTTTTCCAAGTTTTAAGCTTCTATATCTGATTGATCATTTCTCTGATAAGGGATCTATTTAATATAATAGCAGTACGTTAATGATTAAGTTTATAAATGTTAAAGTAACAGCTAAGCCAATAATAAAACAACGTGTACAGCCGTAGTATGTATAAGGAAGTAAGATGAGTTTTGTAGGGGGGGGGTGAGGGATAGGGAAAGATGAGTAAATAAAACTAAGCCAACTAGAGGGTATAAGGGGACTAAGATGTAAAGGGGAGAGCCCTAATATAAATAAGAGTAATACGAGTAGCCCATGTTAATGGGATTCATATTTGAGAGATAATGTAATGTATTCATGGTATTTGTTTACAAAGAATTGAAGTAGAAGCGAAACGGTGTTTTTTAACTAGCGAATAATAAGCGAGGTAAAGAAACGTGAGACTAATAATAAGCTTCAAGTAGTGACTAGAGATTATAATAAGATAACAGGGTTTTACTTTACTATACCATACTATACTACCTTTAAATAATAGAATATATTTAGAGTATAAATAAAGAGGTTTTGGTGCAGTATTTATAGCTAATAGAATAATAGATGATGGAGGTAGTGATTGTGATTCTTCTGGTATAGCTAAATAATCCATAAGGGGGATAAAGCTAGAATAGGTAAAAAAACTAGCAGGAATAATTCAATTAAAGTGTATAAAGGAGTGAGGCAACTGTAAAAAATAATAAGGGGTCAACCTTAAAAGTGATAGAGTGAGAAATATGCTAAGAGGGTAGAATAAGAATATAGGCGATGTAGAGTAAAATAAGGTAAGAGGCTAAAGTAATAAACTTAATCATAGTATAATGAAATATTGAATAGTAGGATAATAATGATATTATTATAGAGGGAAATCTGTCTCATAAGTAAGTTATTACTTAATGATAATTCGGTGAAATGCAAAAATAAGTTGTTTTTATCAACTCAATTTGCAGCCAAGTTTACTTTTGTACCTGCACCTTTAGACAAAAGCTAGCTTCTATAGGTTAAAGCCAAGATAAAGAGTATTGAAAGGGTGCAGATGAAGTGAGAAGGTTCAACGACTAACAGGTGAGCAGTACAAGCAATAAACCTGACACGAGCGCCTAACAGCCAGCCAGATAGAGTGAAGGCGGGTAGATGACATAGTCTAAACTTATAGGTGACTATAAGAACTAATTTTTAAATGAAATAAGGGTAATAAAGAGGGATGAAGTAATTAGTCCAACACTAACAGTGGGGGAATTTTCTATTCTCATTTTTACACATATTCTCGCTATAACAGGTTATGAGCCTGCGCTGGTCTTCTACCAGCTGTGGTTACCCATAAACCTTGTTAATTAATCATCATATATTGTTTACAGACTGTAGGCTCTTTGCTAGTAGTCACGTGTCTTCAAAAAACCTTCTTTTTTCATGGCACATACTTGTAGAAACACCAACGTACCACTCACTATACCGAATTTCCTAGCTCGGGTAACTCCTCCTAGACAAACAACAGCAGGTCGACCTTCTGTCACCTCTACAATTCCTTTCCCTTCCGATTCGCCCCTGTTTTCCCTCTCAAACTCAACAACCGCTCAATTCCGTTCATTCTCCTACGACATGCCTGGCTCTTCAAAATCTGGAACGCCTAGTAACCCCAACTCGCCTGGAGCCGATGATCCTAATCAGGAGAATGCTACTAGTATCAAGGAAGTCGCAAAGGACAAAGGAAATGCGAATGAAAGTCAACAACCTCCACCCTTCAACCCAACAAACAATGATTTCAAGAATTTTCAGGGCAATATGCTCCGACTAATCTTCAAGAAATTCATCACGCAGGGAACCCCATCATCTTTGCCGTTGTAGGACCGTCTTAGGTGGGGACAGCTGGCGAAGGACATCTCTCCCACTCTCAGTCTCAACGGCAGCAATTTCCCCCTTTGGTCGGCCTCCCTCAATCAAACTATACATCATGTCACCGGGGCAATGGAATACTTCAAGGAGGACCTAACCGATGTTGACCCGGCTGCGGCAAATGGGATTTTTGTTCTCATTGAACAATCGATCGACCCCCTTCTGCGGTCGTCTCTCTTAGGACTCTCGGCGTACAAGGCCTATCAAAGTCTCTCTAGTCGGTTTGAGAGACCATCCTGGTCGCTACTGGTGTCAAGATGGAATGCGGTTGCTACCCCTCCTGATGGGTCCAACTCAGTTGCGGCGTCTTACAAGGCCGCAAAGCGGAATTGGACTGACCTGGAGAAACGTCTCGGTGGACTTACAGGCAACAAACTTGCTTCTCTTTCCTTTTATTCCAGCGTCCTGCGTTATCAAACACAACTGGCAAACGCTTTGGACCATCACATGGCGGTTTTACCCAACATACCTCTCCCTTCGGATGAACTCCTAAACTTGGTATCTCAATTCGCGCAATCCACCGACAACGCTGAGGTCAGCGCAATATCTCGTGGTGGTCTGAGAGGCTCAGGTTTCCGTCGAGGAGGCAATCAATCTGGTGGTGGCAACTCAACTGGTCGGGGTGGATCATCAGCCGGAAACAACCAACCGTCCAAACCTCAACCCGACTCGTGGGGCAGCAAGAACCTCACTTCAGAGAATCCCTGCACCATGTGCTGGGAATGGGGCCACTGGGCTCCGGACTGCCCACAAACAAAACAGAAACTTACGGCATTGGAAGACCCCCACATCAAGGATCCCAACTTCAAGCTCAAGAAGTCTTCCATTCTCTCAAGTCACCTTGTTCAAACGGGTCATGTTGCCTCTATCACTGCGGCTCCGTCTTCCTTGCCAGAGGTTCTGATTGACTCTGGGGCTTCACACCATGTAACGTCTGATTCCTCTGTTTTCAATTCTATTTGTCCCATCGACCTAAAACTTTGGGTGGCGTCCAAAGACAAATTTTGTGTAGATGGAATCGGTGATGTTACACTTTCGACCCCCAATGGCATCTTACATCTGAAGGATGTCCTGTACTGCAAAAGGATAGCTGGTACGGTGATATCATTGGGCTATTTTGCGGCATGGGACAGATCGGTTGAGTTCGATAATGTCTTCACTCTCATTCAAAACAATACTTGCTTCTCTACCTTCAACCATCAATATCATTGTTTCCTACCCCTGTCATCTTCCTCTTCTCATGTCAATTCTGTTATCCCCTGCTCATCTGTTCCCACTGTCTCGTCTATGCAATCTGATCTATGGCACTATAGGCTGGGCCACTTGGGTACCCGTACGCTGAACAAAACAATCTCAAAGAACTGTGTCACTGGCTTACCTGAGAAAAAGCTCAAGGTCCCGAGAAGCCTTTGCGGTAGTTGCTCCCTTGCGAAAAGCCAGCATCAACCTTTCATCTCTGACTCGAGGGGGTTAACAAAGACCGTTGGATTTTGTTGCGGCGGATCTCATGGGACCTTACCCGGATTCTCTGGATGGACATAAATATGTCATGGTCATTCAAGGTTGGCTTTGGTTGTAGGTTTATCGACCAAGGCAGCTGCACCTACGGAACTATTGAAGTGGATACCAAAATTTGAGCTGCAAACGGGTTGCAAGGTCAAGACGGTGAGGACGGATAATGCGGGTGAATTCACCTCCAAGGCATTTGAGAAGGCGCTATCGGAGCGATCTATTGTTCATGAACTAGCCGTCCCTTATGAGCATCATCAAAATGGTCAGGTTGAACGCACCAATAGGACACTAATGGAGATGACTTGAACTTTCTTAGTCCATGCCAAATTGCCTGTAACACTTTGGATGCACGCAATGAAGCACTCGGCATGGATCTTCAATCGGCTAGTCCACGCTGACTCGAGTCTTACGCCCTTTGAGATTGTGATGCAGCGCAGTCCTTCGTTTGAAATGATCAAGTCTTTCAGATGCCGAGCATATCTGAATGATATTGAACACGACAAGAAGATCAAACCACGGTCAACAGCTTTAATCCACATTAGCGTGTCGGACACTTCCAACGGGTGGCTACTTTGGGATCCGTGCACCAATAAAGTTGTGCAGGGGGAATCAGTCATTTTTCATGAGCATGATTTCCCTTCTCAACTGACTACTTCCACCTCCCTAAATCCCCTTCTTAACTCGGTGGAAATTTCTGGACTTGAGGCTGTGATAGACTCTATTCAACTGACGGGTCTTGGTGATTTCACGTTGTTCAATCAATTCCAGCTTCAAGATGCGGCACTTGATTCCATCACATCTTTATCAAAAATCATCTCGGACGCGCCGAACTCTTACAGGGAGGCAATGGCCGGTGAATTGGCAAGTCGGTGGGAGGAGGCATGTCAGGTGGAACTAGGGATGATGGCAGACCTTCAAGTTTGGGACATCGTGGCAAGAACTTCTGACATGGAAATACTTGGCTGTCGCTGGGTTTTTGCGATCAAACGTTCACAGACTGGAGAGATCCTTTGATTCAAGGCACGGCTTGTAGCGCAGGGCTTCAAACAAATCCTTGGCGTCAATTGTTTGCGCCCACCCCTACCTTTGCATCTTTACGCCTCCTTTTGGCCTTAGCTTTGCGTTGGAAATGGCTGGTCAAGTCTTTTGATGTCAAATCCGCTTTCTTACACAGTCCAATTGACTATGAGGTTTATGTTAGACCTCCGGAAGGACTTAATGTTCCCGATGGACATGTTTTACGTCTCCGCAAGGCTCTGTATGGTAAAAAGCAGGCGGGACGGTGCTGGTGGCTCTATCTCAAGCAACAAATTGCGACTATTGGCTTCTTTCCAAATCCTGAGGATCAATCAACATACACTCTTCATCGAGGTGACAACACAGCTTTCCTTTGGATCCATGTGGACGATGGTCTGTTGACGGCCAGCTCCCAATCACTCATGGATACGCTACAATCCGATTTGTCCTCCATCCTTGATCTTAAAAGGGACCTTGAATTGGCCAGTATCATCGGTATACGGGTTCGGGAGACAGCAGGGGGGTTCTATCTTGATCAACCTATTCTCATTGACAAAATTCTCCTAACTGAACCTTCGACTGTCAAAACAAGGACACCCATCATCTCTTCGGACTTGACCTCTAATCCTGCCAACCAAATGGACAAAGAGTACCTGTCACAAATTGGCACTCTTCTCTATCTTTCCCAAGGGACCCGACCAGACATATCTTTTGCTGTCAATTTTTTGGCACATTTCTCCATGAATCCCGATGAATCTCACTGGAAGGCACTCCGCCATTTGATCTCATACATCAGATACTCCTCTCGTCTCAGTCTACCAATCATTGCAGACCCTGATAGCCCTCTTCCTGATTGTGTCACCTATGTGGACACCAATTGGGGGGGGGGGGGGAGGCAGGAAGATTGGTTCATGGATTCTTTACTCTTGCCTGGGGTGCTCCAATATCATGGTCCTCTAAAAGACAATCCTGCATTGCCCGATCAACCTGCCAGGCTGAGTACATGGCGTTGTCCTTTGGGGCAAAAGACGGTCAATGGATTAGCAATCTCATCTCACAGCTGTTTCCCATCAATCCTCCGACTCTACTGTCCGACAACCGTTCTAGAGATGGTCGCATGCATCCGG